CACTATTAAATGAATTAATGAAAAACCAAAAGGCTCCTCGGTAAGTGTAATATTTTTCATTATTATTATTATTGTTATTATTATTATTATTATCGTTATTATCATTATTATCATTATCATTATTATCACCATTTTTATCATCATCATTAGCTTTAATTTCTTTATTATTATCAGTAACAATAATGTTCATGTTGATTTTTATTAACATTTTATTTCTCGTCCACTATACTCAGTACTTTATGATAATAACCGTTGTATTCTTTCTTTGGTAGTGTGAAGTCTTGGAAAGAACCTTTTATTCACCCCAATTCACATCAAAAGTCATCATTTTTATCACATTCACCATCAAGGTCATCATTTTCATCATCACATTCACCACCACATTCATCATCAAGGTCATCATTTTCATAATCTCCTTCGTCACATTCACACCAACTCACACCACAGCCCCATCCTTGTGTGAGTTTCCCGCCCAGCAACCTCTCCTTCGCCGCCAGGGACAGTCATCACAGCCGTCTCTCTCTCCTTCACCTCTCTGAAAGTCTCGATGAACGTGACGTCACCTTCATCGGCTTTGTGTTCGTGACGGCCAGGGGGTACATCGGTGACGTCATCAAGTGCGTCACGGGCATGGAGAGGACGGAACATAAGGCGATTGAGACGTATTGTTTCATGACGTCACATTTTACTGTTTTTGATTTGGGGCTTGAGGTGAGAAGGGGTTTTCGTTATGTTTCGTTAATGTTTATTGTATTATATTATATATATATTATATATATATATATTATATATATATGTTTGTGTACCAAACCATTCTTTTAATAATAAAAAAAAAAAAAATCTCTCCCCCTCTTTCTCTCTCGCTCTCTCTCTCTATCTCCCCCCTCTTCTCTCTCTCTCGTCTCTCTTCTCTCTCTCTCTCTCTCTCTCTTTTTCTCTCTCTTCGCTCCCTCACTCTTCTCTGTGTGTATGTATGTATGGATGAGATCAAATGTTTTTTTTCTTTCTTTCTTTTTTCTTTTATTTTCTTTCTTTTTATTGAATCAAATATTTTGTATTTCATTGTCCTTAAAATCAGAAAATTTTGTCCATATTTTTTTCTCTTTAGATTAAACGCTCCTTTGTAGTTTGTCCTTTCTGTCCTTAAATATTTTTTTTAGAACGTTATCCTCTCTTATTGCAAATACTTTTGTGTATCATATTTCTTCTTAATCACGCTATTTTCTACCTTGTTTTTCCCTCCGTCTTGGAAATATTTTGAACCTTAAGGTCGTATGCTAAAGAATTGTGTGACGCAAAATCTGTTCTTAAACACAATTTTCTTATTCTAGAATCTTCATGATTGTAGAAATCTTAAAAAGTAGATTGGAATGTTCGCTTTAAAAAAATGCAATGTCTTTATTCTCTTTTGTTTTATTTGGGTAAACCAGGTTGAATTTTATTATTATTATTATATTCCATAGTAGAGGATTTCTGCGCTTCGAAGAAGTGGATTCCACAATTTTTATTATATTTGTATACGACTTTATTTTCAACGCAAGTATCAACTATCGTGCCTGATTTCTCCCTCCTCTTACGTACCAACATCCTTCTAAAAAAAAGGGGAGAAAAAAAGAAAAGAAAAAATTAAAAAAACCAATCTCTTCTCTTTTCTTCCCCCCCCCCCTCCCACCCTCTCTCTCTGCCTCTCCCTCATCTCTCTCTCTCTTGACTCCCCCTCTCTCTGTGACCCGTCTCTCTCTCTCCTCTCTCTCTCTCTCTCTCTCTCT